TCCCTAATTAATCTGATGGATTACATGAGAACTGAAATGTCGATAGGGAACCTCATAGGTATGGTAACCTTAGACCTGCAAAAGGCCTTCGATAATGTCAACCACAATATATTATGTAAGAAACTACAAGCTATCGGTATAGGTTCTATAAACTGGTTTAAGTCCTACCCTAGCAACAGGAGACAAATTGTCAAAATCAATAAAACAGAATCAGAACCCTTGCCGATAGCATGTGGAGTTCCCCAAGGTCGTATTCTGGGTCCCTTATTATTCCTTTGCTATGTTAACGACATGCCTATCAGTGTCAAGTGCAAACTCCTACTGTATGCAGATGACAGTGCTCTCTTAGTGTCAGGTAAAGACCCACAAGATATATCTAATGTATTAACACTGGAACTGGATTTGTGTAACTGTATTTGTGTATACCTGAATAAACTTACTTACCTTGAAAGATCAGCCGACATAATTATTCCCAGCCAGTCAGTCTAGGCACGTCAATTACGAAAATATTTAACACGCCCATTTTTATTCCGTGTCCTAGCTTGAAAATGACTTCGGCCCCAGGCTAAAATTCTGACTTCAGCCCCAGATTGAAATTCTGACTTAAGCACGAGACTGAAATTCTGACTTAGGCCCCCCCACCTCCAGGGAGGTTCCTTGACGCTGGTGAGGGGCTCTTGATCTAGGAAATTGGATCTGTGCTCCAGTTCTCTGAATTGAGCCTGAATACCTTCCATTCCCCCACATGCGCTGTATAATCCCATGAGTTTAGCGCTCCCTCATGACTTGAGCACCAGACTGAAATTTTCAATTCAACCGCAGACTAATTCTAACTTCAGCTCCTTCAGAATATGTTGGCTGTGCTACTGAATGAAATTAAGCATAAAAAAAATTTTGTAGAGAAGAAAGGGCTTGTAATACAAAAGTTGAGCTGCCTTTTTCTTGAGTCACACATAATTATTACATTCCCATTATTATTATTATTATAATCAAAAAGAAGCGCTAAGCCACAAGGGCTATACAGCATTACATTCCCAGAGGTATGATAAGACGAGATTTCTTCGGATTTTTAACTCCGGAGGGTTAGCCACCCAGGATAACCCAAGAAAGTCAGTGCGTCATCGAGGACTGTAACTTATTTCCATTGGGGTCCTCAATCTTGTCCCCCAGGATGCGAACCACACCAGTCGACTAACACCCAGGTACCTATTTGTTGCTAGGTGAACAGGACAACAGGTGTAAGAAAACGCGTCGAGATTTTTCCATCCCGCCGGGAATTGAACCCGAGCCCTCCGTGTGTGAAGCGGGAGCTTTAGCCACCAGGCCACGGTGCTACTAAACCCCTACGTGATTATCGCTCACTTCAGTAACAATTGTTGAATTACTAACATACTTCTTCGTACTGTCAACACAAACCATTTTGAACTACAGACGATGATTTAGGAGAAGAGGCGAGACGAGCGAACTTGCTGGAAGCTTCCACAATGGCGTCGAGGTCCAGACAGCGTCTACCTACACAACGCATCCACCTTAATTATACCACTACTATTTAACACTTATTTTGTTAATACTACTACTAAGAATAATAGTAATATTATTATTATTATTTTTTATTACATAGTAGTATTTAGCACTTGTTATTACTATAATACTGGTGTAATAATACTATTATTATTACACCACTATTTAACACTTATTTTATTAATACTTCTACTAAGAATAATTGTAATATTATTATTATTATTATTATTATTGTTATTATTATTATTATTATTATTACAATATTGTTTAATATTTTCTATGGCGGATGTGCCTGTGTGTTATCCTGACAAAATCTCGTAAAATCTCAATCATCTGTGTACGTGAAATGATGTAATGTAGTGCGTGATGAAACGTCGTGTTGATGATCTGTCTGGTCTGGGCGAGGCAGTGTCAGTGCTGGGTGTGTTGCTGGGGGACTCACCCAGGGAGGGGGGGGGGGCAGGGGGTTGTCAGTGGTCCCTGTCGGGGGGCACCAGGTAATTACGTGCGAGGTCCTACCATCACACAATTGGGTGCTCGCCCCAGTCAGCCCATTACAGCAGCAGTGGCTGACAGCTGTTGGAGCACCTGTGCCTGGGGTTGTACCTGCGCCAGTCACCAATCTTGGTCAAGGGGTTGGTGGTGCACCTTCACCTCTTGACCACCAACTTCATAATCCAGCACCTCAGCCAGTTCTTACAGGTTATGGTGGAAGTTTTAGTTTAATATGTTTATTATGCACACCATACCCATCCTGTGGGTGGTAGTCAAAAGATTACAGAGGTACATAATGGGTCCAGGGACTGGACCCCAAAGCTTTGATAGCTGAACTAGTTACGAAGGTAATGAACTCACAAGTTACAAAAGTAATGAATCCTGTAAGTAAATTTACTTACGTTTATACATGGCTACAATCATGAACAAATTATAGAGTAATGAGCAATTCACACGTCCACAACCGGTTTACCTGGAGAGAGTTCCGGGGGTCAACGCCCCCGCGGCCCGGTCTGTGACCAGGCCTCCTGGTGGATCAGAGCCTGATCAACCAGGCTGTTACTGCTGGCTGCACGCAATCCAACGTACGAGCCACAGCCCGGCTGGTCATGTACCGACTTTAGGTGCCTGTCCAGTGCCTGCTTGAAGACAGCCAGGGGTCTATTGGTAATCCCCCTTATGTATGGTGGGACCGGTCACAACTGTAATGAGTTATTGGTGCAAATATTAATTGTTGGGACACACACACACACACACGTGATAATGCTTTATTTACAGGGAGAAAAGTCAGGGTATTTTTCCAGAATGGTCTGTAATATACTACTCTGGATAAAATACTTAAGACATATCTTAAACTTTTCGGAGTTGTGACATCCAAGAGTCGGCTTATTTTGTTGGATGCACCATAGACATGTGGCTCCTCCTGCATGATAGAATGATGATAGATGGACTGACTTGTGTCAATCTCCCTGAGTCTTAAGTCAATAAAGTTCAGTTGAAGTTCTTTTCGCATTATTGTTTTCAAACTGCTACCTGGCAAGCCAAGATTGTAATCTACCCCCTCTTGGAAAACATACAGCTTAGCCAATTTATCAGTTCTATCATGCATCCGAAGACCAATGTGAGATGGAATCCACAGCATGTGTCTGGCTTCTGATACGAGCATGCCACAATTTATACTTAATGAGTTGAGAGCATTTATGGATGATAGAGAATCAGTGTCAACCTTAGATACATGGACGCATTTCAGTGCAAGAAGTATGGCAAACAGTTCTGTTTGAAGGGTAGAGGCCCAGTTATTGATGCGTGCTCCAATTTCTTTAAGAGAGCTATCACTCTGTATGACAACAGCCAGGGCCGGATTACCGCATAGGCAAACTAGGCATTTGCCTAGGGCCCTGCGCATTTGGGGGCCCCGCGCATTTGGGGGCCCCGCGCATTTGGGGGCCACGCGGTCCAAGAGGTTCAGGGGCTCATCCAAGACTGCGCACATGGTGCAAGTGCAAAGGGGTCCCTACCTAAAAAGTTCAAGTGTTTGGAGAGTAAAATTGATTTTTAAAAATTAATCAAAACAAAAATAAATAATGAAATAAAATAAAATAAAAATAAATAAACCTAACCATAGATGGCAACACTCAACACGCCTTTGTTTACATCAGAACAGCTGTGTTTTCCCGCTAATGGGTGAGTATGGGAGATGCCTCTCCAATTTTCTCCCCTCAAGGAAGGTTTTCCCTTTATGTTGGTAGGGGTCTTGATTTGGGGGAAATTGGATCTGGCTCCAGTTCCCCGAATTAAGCCTGAATGCCTTCCACATCC